TAGGGATTTAGGATTTCTACAGATTTCCCGCCAAAGGAGCGTTCTATGGCTCCGATATGATTGATATCCGCGAGGATTATAAAAATTGATGTTGTTGTCAAGTGCATATTCTGGACATTTGCATCTTAGGTATATTTTAATAAATGTGCCCGCGACGGCGTCTAAAAATATATTCGGCCGGTTCTAATTAAAAGAGGATAAATTGTGGGTTCCGATTCAAAAATACAAAATCTAAATTTCGCGCTAACATACAATCGGTATGTTAGTCGTTGCATATAATGGATCGAAAATGCAATCGGTTCATAAAACTGCGCCTGTGAAGTAACTTATCTATCTTCGATCCGCAAGATATTTACAATCTTCGTGTAGCGTGGAAATGAATCCCAATTAGCAAGCCACACGAATTAGTGAACAAACAATACAAACTTCACGCAGTATATTTAGTGCAAAGGACAACCAGGATTCCAAAATTACATAAACTTTACATAAATTTATATAAAACTACTAAATTTAATCATATGTACCATCCATTTCACATTCAGATTTCAAGCACCGTAAAACTCAAATTTTAGTACACTCATTTGGTTGTGTGTTCACAAAACCCATATTGTTTAATTGCGCATCAACGTTTTGCGATTTCCCAAGTTTTCGTTTTTTTTCCTTCTTATAACAACAAAAGCAAATACTCTTCCTCCAGGTATTCTGCATTTTGTTTGTCCGTTTTTTGTTGTTTTGTTTCATGTCAGAGGGACCGAAATAAAATTGATTGATTGTTTAATACTTTTCTTCTATTGTTAATATTGAGTTTTCAATCAGAACGCAAGTATTCAAGTCGCCATGAAGACATTGCAAACTAATTCTTTATTTAAATGGTGCAGTTCTCGCACCACGTGTTTTTCTATATAAATTCTATGTTTGTATTGACTCGCAATATTATAGTTGCGTCTACAATTCCCATTGTTCAAGTCTCTCGAATAAACGAACCGGCGATCCTTAATCATGGACCGACAACAAAAGACCGAAAATAGTTCAAGCATGGGCTTGGAGAGTTGTTTTGTAAAATTTGAATACGTGCGACATTTTAACAAAGTTGCCTAAACTATGTTGACGGTTTTGGAATAGCCTTTTCTATGATGTCGTTTGCGTGTTTTACTATCAGAACTAGAAGCTGGTAGAGAATCGAGAAGATGACGTTGTGTTCAATGGCCAAGTATGAGACAAGTGCATTTCGCGTCATTGCTTAAATAAAATCTTAGGATAATAAATTTTTCGGTGATGATACTTACCACCGAGCACCCGTTCAAGCTTGAGCTCGAAAAGACACGTGTAATCAGTAGGTAGCGATGAGCATAAATTATATAGTGAGTAATCGTCATATCTGTTAACAAACTCTTCGATACTTCTACTTCATTACATATAAGGTTTTTTGTATTTTTGCCTCTATTGTCGTATTATCATGTCCATGTATCCTTATAAATTCACCATTATTTTCGCGGGTAAAGTGGATTAAAACCCGTGTATACACATTGGATCTGTGGTTCTCAAACATTTTCAGCTTCTGGCGCGCGAAAAAGCTCTTCAAAACCCTACCCAACCGGTCGGTCTGGTGCCATTTTACCTGGGTTATTTTATTGTCAACCATTGGGCCCTATAGCTTCACTCATGGCTTTTTAATAGCGTGTGATAGAGCCCTTTTCAGCAATATATGTAAAAACGCAGTCCTCTAAAAAAATTTTTTTACGCCAAAATTTAAAATTTTCTATTGAACTTGCAAGATTTTGTGTCTAGTACAGGGTTGATAATTATTTCTAATTAATTAATTTTTATTCCAACGTTTTCTTGTGTTATTTTTCCAACAGAACAACACTAAAACCACTATTATAGCAAGAATGGTTACTCTTCAATCTCTACAGTGACATATCACCAGTCCGTTGCAGCAAATTCGAGTAACAGGTCAAGCCGAACCACTCCTGCTTCTATTCACAAGTCGAGTCCTGGTCAATATAGATTTCATAAACAATAATAAAATGGATGAATGAATGTCAATATTGTTCCATCCTAATGCGCCCTCATTCTTGATAATGCACCAGTGCGATGTTGACAATGCCGCATCATTGCTGATAATGTACTGCTCCTAATATTAGAAAAGTACTCCTCTACTCCATCCAACCAATGACATGCTTCATGTCACTAATCCAACGTAAATCAATTTTATGACCTAATATATTAGCAGTGAAATTCTACGTCTCGTTCTCAAAGTTTGTGTGAGCTTTGCTACGGGGAAGTTGTGAAGCTGTCAGAAGTTGAAACCGTTCTTATACAATAGCTGAATTCAATCGAATAATTTCATATACAGCAATGAAATTTCTTCCTAAAATGCATAGTAGATGTACGAGTAACTTCTTGTTTAGAGCCTTTGTTCAAAGGGATGTGTGAAATATCCCATAAAAATAGGGCTACATATCACCAAATCTTTATCGAATGACCACGGCAAAAAGAGAATCTTAAAGTACAGTGGCACATCAGTGATGTGATGATGTGACATCACCCGTCCGCGTTTCAGCGAATTCGAGTACTGGGTCAAGTCGAATCACTGATGCTTCTATTTACGAGTCGAGTCATTATAGATTTCATTAACGATAGTAATGGATGAATGAATTGACAATATTGTGCCATCCTATTGCGTCCTCATTCCCGCCTACAGGTACTGGTAGCTTATATTGTAGCGTTTGCGGTATCAATTTTTGAGTATTGTGACTAAACTAAAGATCTTCATAGGACACAATGACAATGGACCTTTCCCCGACCTTTAACCCCCGAAAAATTTTTCCTATACTTTACCATTGCAAAATTTTCGGGGCTATTTTAGGAGTGCTTTTGCGAGTTGGCGCCTGTGAAATGGGGTATGTGTTTCAAACCATTATTATTAAACTAACGAAGAGAGTTCAAAAATGCGAAAACTAGGTAATGTTCACGACCACGCTTGAAAATCTGTCTGAGTGAGAAAAGTGTCTGAGCGGATGCCAAAAGGGAGCATCGTTACGTCACTTTTTGCATCTTGCTGATTGGCCAATGTCACGAAGTAAACAAGGAAGTCGATGCTCTGGGTAAGGTGCATAGGTCTTATTTTCGGGGAAACACGGTACCTTCTTTAGCAGGACACAGTCACGTGACTATTCATAAACAAATCCTGCCAACGCTCCGCTTGACGTGGGTTTGTTTTGATTTATTTACATTCCTTTTCAAGCCTGGCAATACGTCAAAATGTCGACTTCACAACAAAAGCGTATCAACGATTATATGAAGTTGAGAAAACGAATTCCGGCCAAATCTAAGGAAAAGCGGCAGAGGAATAAAAAAGCTCCCAACACAAAACCGGAGCCATTTGCATCAGGTGGGGCTACGGTACCGTACCAGTTCCACTCAATATTCCAACCAGGAATTATTTCAGTGCCCATACCGGTACTCTGCAGTTATTAGGCGTAGTTATCCTACTTAATCTACTGAAACTCCCAATTATTAGATATTGCTTTTTAAAGTCCCATTGCTGCAAACATACATCCATTTGCACAGGTCAACAATAGTCTAATTCAAGTGAGATAATTTCCTATTTAAAATACTGAAATACCCAGATACGTCGATCTCCGACACTCGCAATGCTCAAACAGAAAGAGATATGAAGATCCTGAGGATGTTTGATTTAGATCCCTCATTTGGACCCAGTGTAGGTGAGAAATACACTTTTGTAAAATTCTTCGGAATGAAATTAAGGGTTAAATTGAGTTACAGTAATGCTCATCTCTTGATCCAATTGCAGTCTATCTCTTATTGATGGGGAAAATAAACCTTAGGCATTCGTTATCTCAGATAGATTCCAAAACATGTATGAAATCACCAATCAGAAATAAATTTTAACATTCGGCATTCACCAAACTAGCTCTGAACCTCATCTAAGGTTTCGTGTGCTCTCCTGATTTCATAATCAGTTTTTATTTATTTGTTTTTATCAATCATTTTATTGCCTGCTATGCTAATGATTAGAAATAAACTTATACTTAACATTCAGATTAAATACACTCTCATAGTTGATCATCTTGCAAACAGTGTTTTAAAGGACTTTGATATTCAGTAAAAAATCTTACCTGTATACTTGCAAAATCTAAAATTAAGCTTCCGTGCTAAAATTTGTTTAAAAAATCTTACTCTTATTCATATTTTCAAAGGTAAGAGAAAATACCTACTGAAGCTGGTGTCAATTTTCTATTTTCCTTATGGAAGGGATTCCTATTCTAAATAAAGATCACACAATGATAGACAGTATCAAAATCTTTTTCCAAAAACTAGATTTTTCTTATTCTTAAGATGATACAAACATTTTAAACCTTTATTTGGTCATATGTCGCTTCAGACGATTAATAGAATGTAAGTCATGCGTCGCACTAAAATAACTGTAATGGGAACTGTTTTAGACTTCTTGGTATTTGGTACAAAATTTTATGATACAACAACAATTTAATATAATGAAGATTCTTATATGACACCTCATTATTCCATATCATAGATTCAACAAGAATGGAAAGATGGGAACGTGCCATGAATCTTGGTCTTTCCCCGCCCATGCATGTCAAGAATCTAATCAACAGCAATTCAAATAATATCCAATACACACATTCCGTATGGCAACGTCACAGCCTGCTGTCTATACCAGACTCATAGGAAGAAAATTGAAATGAAATTAAACATTTCTTATCTATGAGTAATAATGTTAATCAGTCATACATTTTGATACTTGTATATGGGTGTCTCATACCTAATTCTGTTTCCAAATATTTTATGTGATACATTTTTTTTAATTTTATTCTTTCAATTCATTCACCTTTTTATCTGTTTTTATCAGTAGTAATTAACTTGTGAACTAGCAATTTCTGCTAAATCAAGTTGTATATAAAAAATAACATTTTCAGCATAATAGTGCTTGTAAATTACTTAGGATATATTATTGGGATGGGTATAAAGTACAGAACCGCCTACAGGTAGTGTTGGGTTACTATATTGCACCCTGGTATTTATGGCATAAGGACAGTGCAAACGAAATTCTGCACGCTTCTCATACATGTAATGACTGTATTTTCATGTATTGGATGTCTGCTTTGGTATCACTTCTTCTTTGAATACTTTTCCAAAGTTATTGATGATAAAATGAAGATTGAATATAATTCCTTTCCTTCATGTAAGTTCTCCACAATCTGCAATCACAACCTTTTGTTTTGGCTTACCATCTTTAGAACCCAGATTTTCCATTTTTTTCACCACTTCTAAGCCTTCAACAACATGTCCAAATACAACATGCTTGTCATCTAGCCAATCAGTTTTTTCGGTACAGATGAAAAATTGAGAACCATTTGTATTTGGGCCAGAGTTTGCCATAGACAATACTCCTGCCCCCGTGTGCTTCAATGTGAAGTTTTCATCTTCAAATTTTTTTCCATAAATGGATTTCCCTCCTGTGCCATTATGATTTGTAAAGTCTCCTCCTTGACACATGAATTGTGGTATAATACGATGAAAGGTACTGCCCTTGTAACCATATCCTTTCTCATGTGTGCATAAGCACCTAAAATTTTCAACAGTTTTCGGTGTAACATCTGCTCGTAGTTCCATGAGAATTCTACCTGCATACTGGGTGCCAAACCGCAGATCAAAAAATACTCTTGGGTTCTTTGATTTTTTAATAATTTTTTCTGTTGATACTTTATCATTAGTTTCCATCGACTCTTCAGCATCTTCATCTTTCACTGCATATTTTTTCAACCATTCTTCATCCGCCCACACTGGCCTGTGAGAGAGTCCTTCTTTCTTTGTGTACATTGGTCTGGCAATATTTACTTTTATAGTGCGTCCGAATAATTCACTTTCATTCATGTTATCGATTGCGGCTCTTGCATCTCCTTCAAGTTCAAATTCAACAAAAGCGAAGCCTCTGTGTTTTTCAGTTTCATAATCCAGTGGAATGTTGATATCAACGATATCCCCAAATGGAATAAATGCAGAGTGTATAGTTTTTTCATTTACTTCTTCCGCAAGACCTCCGACATAAAGCATACGTTTCTTCGACATTCTCTTAATGCATTACCTGTTGAGCTATGATAACTAGAAGCAAATTAATGAAATGTTTCAAAGGAATTACAAAATTAAGTATTTTCTGTTGCACGACCACGGTAATGTAACTAATGCTTTTTGACAATATATGACTTGATCAAATTAATACTATGACAAATATAAACAGATTAATACATTATATAGCAATTTGAATATGCTTCAATCTACAAGAGCATACTAGAAATAATCAAAATTGCAAACGAATGATCTGGTAAGAGGAAATGTAAAACAATAAATAAAGACTGCCAATGTGATCATGGTCTCTTTGCAACTTGTCATCTATTTAGATCACATGGGAAACGACAATTTTCACATTAGGTTTGTCAAACATAAAATTAGTGAAGCAATCAACCTGGGATGTTTACGAGATAACTAGTTGGATTACATGAAACATTGTATAAAATTGCACGGATAAGTACATATTGATTGGTGTACAGGGTATGTGGTTATATTCCTAAGCCACATCAAGCTCTTGCTTCAATGTTTATGAGGAGGTCAAATTTTCCTGCATGAAGCAATGTACATATCTCTAAAACTTCAATTGAATAAATATCTATAAAACTATCTCTGAGTATTATACACAGTATATTTTCAGCGTATAAGCCTTTATATAATTAACTTGCTTCTACATACAAACACCCAAAAGAAACATCACTAAATCTATCAGCAGTTCAGCACCATTGCAAGATAAAACCTGTCACCATAATTATAGAATCTAAATTAGTTTTTAAATAGCAGCGAAATATCATACTGTATCTAGTTTATTCACAATCAAGAGATATATAATTAGGTTTCAGGGGACAGGCTTTTACAGTATTAAAAACTGGTCAGCTGAAATCCATTTGATACAACAATGCCATGGCTGTGTTCTATAAAAATATATATAAATTTCAAAACATTGAGCATGCATTTGGAGGCATTTTTAGGCAAAAGAGTAATTCTGTAATTCAAGTATTTCTGTATTCAAAATTTAATCTACAGGTCCAAGTTCACTTCTTTAGTTTTACAAATTTGAATGTTAATTCGGTGATACCGATAGTTTCACTCCCAATTTCGTCATAATCAAACCAGTCTTTATCTTTCAGATCAACATCTGAAAAGGTTTTCGTTGAACTATTTGATTCAACTTCCCAACCACTTCTCAGATCAAAATCGACTGGTTCCAAACCCCTACAGTCAAATACAACAATTACTTTTGATTTTAGGTCATCTTCAAAAGTGTATGGTTGAACTCTGTCTTCTAGGATAGATATTGAATTCTCTCTGGAGCACATCTTACACTTTTCTACCATATTTGCTTGCCCACGACCACCTTTTAAATCTGCAGACATGTCTTCAGTCACATACTGCCAGTTTGCAGTAACTTCTCCACAATTGTTACAACGGAACTTCAAAAACCATCTGAAATCTTTTCCACAGCAACGCAAGCTTTTGACATTTTCTAAACACGCTTTGAATTCTAATCCTATCTTCCCCATGTTTCTGAATTTTCCGTAGAAAAACCGGTTGGACGTTATGTAGGTGTAGGGTACCAAATCGCTGCACCAAACGATAATTAACTATCACTGCAATCAAATATGAAATGTATACAATGTACACTGAGCAGGCATATGTGATTTATTTTTTTCCCCGGACAGTCAGAGGCAATGCCACAATTCCTTGTTTCGTTAACGCTTTTTAGTCAAATATAGTTTGAATTTTTGAGCAACCCCAATTTTTATTTTTTTTAATGGGAAAATATGACTAAAAGTATATAACCGGACAAACAATCATAAAATAAATGTTAATATTTTTTTATATGTCCATTCCATCAGTGTTTGAGGTCAACGACTAACATACGTTTGAGGTGTTGATTACACAATTTTATTCGTACCAAGCATGACGCTTTAAGAAAGACCGCTAACCGGTGCGCTTGATTTGTACTGTCGATAAAATCATAATTGGACAAGTCTGTGGACATAACGATCGTTTCAATATTATTGGACACGGTAGTGGACATAACGATCGTTTCAATATTATTGGACACGTAGTGGACATAACGATCGTTTTGTTGTTATGTTGTTCTTTGACACGTTTTGAAGTAATCGCTTTTCTCTTTGATTACCGGACCGATTGCTTTAAAATTTTCAGTGAGTAAAAATTGATTTTTTTTGCCCGAAGGCTATTACTTTTATTTATTTCTAAATTTCGCATGAAATCTGATATTTCGTCTAAAATTTCGCTGTATTCTTTTATCCATGGAAACACTGGCTGTACGGATTTGATTCCGTAAATTACTTCTACGCGAAACTCGGAATTTTTTGTGGGCACCGGTAGCGTCAGAGGTAAGTACTGCTTCGCTCTGGTTATGTGTCCATATATTTGAGCAAAGCTCTCTTGTGTTGTTGTTTTGTTGTTCTTGTTCTTTGACACTTTTTGGACACCTAGTGGAACATCTAAAAAGTCGCTTTCCTCTTTGATTACTGAACCAATTGCTTTGAAATTTTTAGTGGTTAAAGATGAAATTTTTTTCCAGAAGGCTATTACTTTCATTTAATTTAAATATTTCTGTTGGCTCTGTGAGATTTGTTTTTGCTTGCGTCACGTCACAGAACGTTCTGCGGACGCTTCGAGGAGGGTTGGTAGCATAAAAGTCATATTGGGGATGGCAAAATAGGGATGGCAAAATACGGTCGAAAGGTGGCAGATTAGGGATGGCGAAATAGGGACGAAAAGCCAAATTGGGGATGGCAAAATGCGGTCGAAGCGTGGCAGATTAGGGATGGCAAAATGCGGTCGAAGCGTGGTGGCAGATTAGGGATGGCAAAATGCGGTCGATGGGTGTCAGTTTTTGCCAAATCGACTGTCATAATGCGCTGTTTGGTATACAGATAACAATTAACAATTGCCTCAAAATTACAAAGAAATATGGCCAAAGTGTTTAGATTTGGGGCTGATGAAATGGATTAGTACCTGTCAAATTCGGGCTGGCAAAACACAGTCGATGAGTGTCAAAATGGGATGGCGAAATGGGGTCGAAGCGTGGCAGATTAGGGATGGCGAAATGCGGTCGAAGCGTGGCAGATTAGGGATGGCAAAATGCGGTCGAAGCGTGGTGGCAGATTAGGGATGGCAAAATGTGGTCGAAGCGTGGTGGCAGATTAGGGATGGCGAAATGCGGTCGAAGCGTGGCAGATTAGGGATGGCAAAATGCGGTCGAAGCGTGGTGGCAGATTAGGGATGGCAAAATGCGGTCGAAGCGTGGTGGCAGATTAGGGATGGCGAAATACGGTCGAAGCGTGGCAGATTAGGGATGGCAAAATGCGGACGAAGCGTGTCAAATTGGGGGTGGCGAAATAGGGTCGATTCCTGTCAGGTTAAAGATGATGAAATATGGTCGATGCGTGTCAGATTAGGGAGGGCAAAATAGGGCAGTGGGTTGACGGGTGTCATGTTAAGGATGGCGAAATGCGTGTCAGATTTGGAAACGAACATTGTCAAATTTAAGAAATTAATCTGATCAGTGTTTCACATTTTAAAATTCATTTAAAAGGTATTGTCCGATTTTTCATCGTGTCTTTATTTTATGATTAATTTTAATGTTTTATATATTATTACATTTTTCTCATCAAGTCTTGAACATTTTTTTTATATTTTTCTGATTAATAATTTTAATACAATCTTTTAATGTTTGATATAGGCCGCGAGCCGAGGCCCTGAAAAACGCCTAGAAAGTGAGTTTCGTAGCGCACATCAGGTAACTACCTGAAAATGATTTTAAAATGTTCCTTAAAAATTTAGTAACAAATATTGCCTTGTTCCCACTTCCAAAAGTTGCACGTTTTACGGAAAAGACGCTTTTACTACAAGAAATATGTGCTACGATCTGTCCTATATTCTCTACATTTTCGGCACTGAACAATGACTTCTGCATGACGTAACAATTGAATTAAACCAGCTGTTAGCGAGCGGATGAATATTAGTTATTTCTGCTCGACCTTGCGCTGAGTTGGGCAGGCTTTCCATAGCCCTGTTTAGTTATTATTAGTTAAGTTATGCTAAGACGTTGTTGAAAAATGTATAAGTAAATTATTAAACACTTGTAGATCCTTACCACGGATATGGGCCGTGAGACGAAACCATGAAAACGCCCAGAAAATGAGTTTCGTAGCGCACATCTGGTAACTAAATAAATTCTTCAGTTTTGTGTGAAAACGAACATAATGAACGCATTACAGCTTGTTCCACAATCCTGGTGCGAAATTGAATATAAGAGGTTCCCGGAAATTCAATAACCATAAGTTACAACGCATACATAAGAACTATACAATTCGAGAGCCCTACAGCACACTAACACAAATGTATTCCTGTAATGTTTTGCCTGACCAAAATCGGACTTCCTCAGTCAATCATAATTTATTAGGTAGATTACGAAAAATATGGCATACACGTAACCAACAACAAAAAATACTTTAATTGTGTGACAGGACAGGAGTGACCTCGAAAGCAGCGACACCAACAACGCTGATTCACATTTGAGAATAAATTTTATGTAATAACCACAAGCAGTTTACAACAAGAACAGCATAAAAAGCTACATCCATTTTATAGAAGCTATCAATTATCAAACGTATTTATTTTTAAGCAATGAAGTCACAAATTAACATCGTGAGCACGAAAACACAAATAAATCAGTTATTTCTCACTTAGAAATTTACCGCAAAAGTCAAGAAAATTAAATGAATGTACAATATGTACATAACATAGTGAACAGAAATATTACAATTTACAATTAATCTTTTTTTAGTTTATGTGGTTATGTATTTGAACAAAGGCAATAATATTTCTAGAAACAGGACTACGACACTAACAAATGTCCGAAAAAAAAAAACAAATGTATGATACTTATTAAATCAACTGTAATATCTAATTCACTTTCTTCTGAATTGTTTTCGAAATCCACTATCTCAAAAATCGACTTTTCCTCTATAGGTGTACTGTGATTTCTGCAGTCAATACAAAAACAAAAATCTGTGCAATTTAAGTTGATTTTGGCACACTTTCATAAATTATTTTGACTATTTTTCTTTGCAGTTTGCCAACTCAAGAACTGATTTGAGGGCCACATGCTTCTTCAGTGAATCATTGTTGGGTGAAGAGTATAATCCTTATGTTTGACAGTGTTAAATAGACGTGCCCTGGTATCATTTACATTCTTTATATCCTCTTCAAATTCCTCAGCTTTATTTATTAATACCTCGTTAACCTCGAAAGATCTTCATAGTCGAGGGAAAAAAATGAATTGAAAATCTCAATGAAGTCTCCAACATGAATTTGATGGGCAGTTCCAATTGCAGAAAAGTGCTAAAGTATTTCAATATGAATAGCCCATCTAAGCTGTTTGCAACTATTATGATTCTCATATACCTTTAAGCTTCAAGACTTCTTGTTTAATCCATTTTATAGCACTGATAGCAGCAGGGATCAGAGCCTGCGTTAGGTCGGATTGGTGGAACATTGCCGTTTTCTTTTGTAGTACAGTATCTAAAATAAGGAAGAAAATAATATTTGGAGCAGCATGATTTTAAAAATACCCCTAAATACTAACTAATACCTTGAATACATAATGCATTTTATCTGATTGTACTAAATGAGCGTATATATGCTCATTGCATGTTCTACAGTCCAGCAGTGTTTGCATACCATTACTAGACTATATCTACACTAAATTTTGATATATCACAGTCTGAAATGTCCTATGACAGTATGAGTATGGACTATAGACTATATTTTGAAACATCAAACTGTTTGTCTACAACTTCATTTCTCACCTCTCAATCATTTCCAATGCTACCTTTCTTTCCACTCCGGCATAACTTATCATTGCTTCCCAGGTTCTTGTCGACTCTATGAATTTAGACTTAGACCAACCGACATTAGTAAAATTGATTAATTTCTTCTCTTTCACACAACCGTGCATTACAGAAACAGCCATTCATTTCTATTTCCAAATATGCTGTGGCCTATATAGTAGTATAAGTCTGCTGAATAGTCAAGAAGAGTCATTAAATTAATCATAAACATTTCATGCAAGCCAGAAAATATCGTTGTTTGTGACATATTATTCTAGGTCTACCCTTCCTTGGAGTTACCGCACCGTACCGGTACCTATTTAACAACGTCTTATGAGCTAGTGCTCAACTAAAATTGCTATTTATGGCAAGGATATACAAGTGTTTAATATCTTACCGGTACCTATACTTTTCAACACCTCCTTAGAATAACTGGACTAATATTACCGGTAACTGAAAAAAACTATGGAAAGGCTACTCAACGCAAAAGCAATGACATAAAACAACATGATGCGCAACTCCGGCATTTTTGGCCGAAGATCGTATTCGATAGCACGCTCCAATGCACATACTTGACGAGACGAAAACGAGCGGATGTGTGTTGCTTTCAAGGCATAGCACGAATGGTGTTCGAGGTTGCTTCGACAATTGTTGTGGTTTTTAATGATATGTGGAAAATTGAAGGTAAAAATAAATCGAAAAAAGTAAGGTAAATACTATTGTTGTATATCACACCCGGGCATCGCACTGTTAAGTACATGCGGAAAAGCCAGCTTTTGTCAAATACTACGAAGTTATTAATTCAGTACGGTACGTAGTTGCCCATTTGCCGAAATTGCATATTTACTTACCCCTTATGGTTTCAAATAGTTCATG